TTTCATGAACTGTTTGTTGTATGTGTACGGTTAATTAATCATTGTATTTAGGTGAAATAAATAAATTGAGATTCAATATGAAGTGTTTATTCGATGTTTTTATTTAGGAAACAAATCGAGCGAAAATTTATTCGAAATAATATCAGTAACTGTGTTTGTGAACATTGCATACACTACACGTAATCAACAGGACAATCTCAATCTAGTTGATACTATTTAGCAGACATGATGTTATTCTTGAAAAGAAACAAGAATTTTTCTTCATGTTATGGCTGCTAGGGGCGGCCAAACCAAAATATCGCACAGATCCATGAAGTCACTGACAAGTAGACTGAGTCATGTTGGTAGATGTAGTCTACCTTGTTGGGGTCCATGAGACGATATTCAACGATGGTTCGAGACCTTGAATGACATGTCTCAGAATCGTTTGCAGTGGCGCAGGGTCATCGACTGTTAGTGTTCTATGAAAATCTAAGCTTCTGCATTCCTCATATTCTCTACCTTTCTCCTTCTGAATTTATCTTACTGAATTATACTTCTCGAATCATATCTTCGCTCCCTAATCTTCTCCATTACTGCTAATTCCTCTATTATTGCTATCACTCTTAGATTTGAACTGACAGTTGCGTCTCTGTGCTGATTGGGCATGGCAACCTGAAGGGATGTACGTACGTACGAAGTTCTGCGTTCTATCTGTCTGTCTGTCTGTATTATGTTATCAAACAGACGTAGGTGAAATATAAACGACACACTGATGGAAAAATTTAATAGATTTCGAAAGGATCAGCTCTTATTTGTTAGAAATGTTTACTTGAAGTGACATTTCATCTCAGTTCATAACATCTTGGGAGGTTGAAACTGACTTGACTTTACTTAGGAATATTCTTTCCCATCATAATCGATTAAAAATCATACTGAAATCGCTTATCGCTGTGGGAATTACATGGCTGATAACCACAGATGTAAATAACGGACTAAAAAATTTTGATTATTGTATTATTCTCAATATAGAAAGTACAATTATTTAATTGAAACGATGTTGTGACTGTGATTCCTAATAACCACTTCTTTTAACATTGTTTTGTTTAACTGATATTCATCTCTGAGTATGAATCACTGGCTTTTTAAAACCTCTTCCAACCTATGATGTTAATGAGTTGATTGCAAAAGTCAAGAGGAAGTATTTCGTTAATTTCTTGGAGAAATAGCTTGAAGAAATGAGAAAGATTGCCAATGGAATTCATTAGGTAAAAATTTTTATTGTTATCCGAACAACTTAACATATTTCAAACAACATACAGATAGAAATCTTTATGTTTAAATATGTATTGAATATCGTTAGTCGTAGATTGAAAATTATTTACTATATTTCTATATAAATACAATTGAATACACAGATTCCTGTAATGTTTAGTTCATACTGTGGTTATTTCCTATCAAATATTGATCAGTTTAATTCATGTAAACAGTCAATTTATACAAAATTCTCTGGAAAAATATATCGATAATGAATTTCATTGAACAGCATTATATATGTATATATATAATAAATTAGAAATTCATTAGTCACCCAAATCGCATGCGATATTACTGATCGTTAACTGGATAGACTACGAGGAAGCATGAGAAAATGTGGTAAAGATGACAGGTTATTCAAGACAAAGCAATCAATATCATACAGAATTCGTGTTAGGGAATAAACTGCAGGTTCATACATGGAGGACAGCTGACAGATGTGTTACAAGTAAAGATCAGTATCCGTCAAGAATGCTTACTATCACATTTTCTCTTTCGTCAGCTGGTCGACTGTATTATCAAGACGTTAACATGTGACAGGAATTAAAGAATAAGCTGGACAGCTTAGATACAGTTAGACGATCTGCAGATGATTGCAGATGATCTAACTCTTCTATCCCGAACACAACAATAAATGCAGGAGAAAATGACCAGTGTAACAGCAGCCTTAGCAAAGGTAGTAGGTTTTAACCGATATTCGGTGAAAATCAACATCGTTCGACAAAACACAACATGCAACTGGTGTATCTAGTCATCAACGAAGTCATTGATAAATTAATCTCAGCAATTCTTATAAAATAATTAATCTTTATATCTAATTCTTCAAGTTTATCGATTATTTTCCCAAAATAACTCAGACTGGACTATCAGATTCAATGATGAAGCATTTTCTTCACTTTAATCGTTGAAAGTTTCTATTACATTAATCACTGTCCAACTTTAATCTATTAAAAGTTATCTAATATTTGAGTGAACAGTTCGTTTCAACAACTTCATAGTTTGTCTCTAACAGTTTACAACTACTTTACTCTAATAGTCGAAATAAGTCATGTATAAATAAGTGAATAAAAAGGTGTTTCATTTTGAATTATTGAACATTTACCGCGTTTGATTCATAAATAAGTTCAAAATGTATGAGTTGTCAATTTGAAAGGCTATTTGAGAGATAGACTATAAAACTTGTCTACGCGATGCACTGCCTATCTAATTGGCTAGATACCATCAGTAACCACCTAGTATAGGAAAGAACTAATCAGATTGTAGCCGAGGAAGAAATCGATAAGAGGCACTCATTGTGCATAGGAAATACATTGAGGAAACTATCCAACTGTGTCATGAGGTAAGCCTTCACTAGTAATCCCCAGTGCCAAATGAGAAGAGTAAGATGAAAGTACACATTACTTGCTGAATTAGAATCACATATGGAGAGAAATGGAAGAGAAGGTCCAGAACAGAATAGGTTAGAAAATGCTCATAGATTTCCCTGCTCCATGAAGGTTAACTGTCTTAAGTAAGTTGATAATAAGTCTAAACAATGTTATTTTGAAAGACTAATTGATATAACTCGACTGATCTGAGAAAATCTGACTCATTTGCGAAATATGTCTTTCCAATAATCTTGTCACAAATGTATTTCAAGTGAAAATAATTTAAAAATAAAGAATATTTTAGTGATCAAATAACTTCGTGATCAAGCTTTACATTTATATAAGTCCAGAATTATCGTGCTATCTATATTATTGTCTTCATTCATTGTTACCTGCTGTGTACAATAAATGTGTCGCTTACTAGAGGTATACTGATTAATCACAGTTTTTGACTAAGTTAGCTCGTACAACCTGTTCATCACAAAGTATCACTGAAAGACATGATATTACATAGATTTGATATATTGGCTTCCGGACATGGATTCCAATATAGCAGTGTCTTCGTTGATCAGAAGACATACAACCAGCATGTTTGAATGTTGTTGAGAAGAAGAATGACAGAACGTTATTGGTCTTGTACTGAATTGACGCTATAGTTTTATATCATGTTAGGTATACACAATAATGAATATTTGGAACTAAATGTTGGATTATCTAAACTGATTTGAATTATCACTGAATGACGATTGAGTACGAAGTTAGAATTTGTAAGATTAAGATTCAAATAAGTACAAGCAAACAGATAACTAGAGGTTTTGACGAAAAATGGTTGAATATCGTTCAAAATACTCTTGATACACGTTTCCTAATTATTGTAACGTATTATCTGATTGACCGACCCGAATGAACGCACCCAAACATTGAAGCAGCATCTATGGACCTCCCAGTCGACGTTGGCCGACCAACATCTGAAGAGGTCAGTACAGCCATCAGACAAATTAGGCGTGGCAAAGCAGCTAAACCACACATTATTCCAGCAGAAACGATGAAAGCAGATATGGCAGAAACTGCAAAAATATTAAACCTTCTCTTCAAAAAGATTTTAGATGAAGAACAAATACCAACAAACTGGAACGAAAGATACCTCATCAAAACATCAAACAAACGATGTTAATAAACAGAATGGAAAACTTCATAGACGCTCAGCTTCGATAACAACTGGGTGGATTTCGTAAGGATCGATCGTGTACTGACCAAATTGTAACATTGTGGATCATTGTGGATTATTCACTTGAATGAAATTCACCACTCTATATGATCTTTAGTAACTACAAGAAAGCATTTGATTGCGTGGACAGAACAACACTATGGAGGCTTCTTCAAAAGTAGTGAACATCATACAGAATTGTTAAGATGGATTAAACAGCACAATCGTGCATAGAAAACAGCTGACAGACTCATTTGAGATGAAGATCGGTTTCAGACAAAGCTGATTACTTTCTACTATTCTCTTTCTCCTGATGATTGACTAGATTATGAATACGTCGACATCTGAAGGAAAGCACGGTAGGTAGTAGACAGCTAGCATGCAGCTAGATGATTTGGACTTCGCAGATGGTCCGGATCTTCTATCGCTTAAAATCATGTGATACCTTGAAAGTCAACTTAGGCAGTGAAAATTTAAAAGTTTTATTAAACATAGTGAAACATGCTTAGTTGACGGCATTGACGAAAAATGCAAATAATTAGTTTGTAATTTTGCCCGTGTGCAATTCATTGGAACTGCTCCTAGGTTAGTGTGACAATTTTTTTACGCTTTCCTATTTTTTTTATTCTATATCACCTTCAGTAATCCTTTCCTGCCTCTAAAATAATCACCTTATATCTATCTATCTATCTATCTGGACATCTATTTTGACTAGCAAATTGCACTCTTTTTTTCGTTTCCTAATTCACCATTTTCTTGTTTTATTTTGGATTGATGAATTTTACAACAACCAAACTTATTTAAACCATGAATCGATCAATGTTGAACCACCATTTAAGACCTGGATGAGGTGGACCGCCAAGGTCCTCGGTTCGAATCCTGAGAGTGCAGGGGTCATGGATGCACACTGCCACTGATGAGTCCCATACCAGGACAAAAAGGCCGTTTCTAATGGTTTCTAATGGTGATCTAACACTGATCGATTCATGCTTTCAAAAATGTGTAACTTAACAATCTTCACATCCCAATAACGCTAAAACAAAACACACAAAATGCAATAAAATCGAAAGTTCATTTATTCGCTTTTTTTTCAATAACAAGTAAAGTCATATAAAAAGAAAATTCTTCCTTCATGAAAAGTCTACTTTAGCACGATGATCTCCCAAGAATACAATCTCGTTATTAAAAATCAACGAAATGAATAAAGCACCGTCATGTGAATTATAACGACGTAGACGTTGTTCTAAACTGTAAATAAAAAAAATTTAAAAAAATCGATTTGTTTTCATCAGTAAAAGTAAAGAAATTTACGAAAAGACGAATCGCAAACAATTTATAATCAAATTTATATTGGTCATATTCATTAATACTACTGATTTGTTTACAACAGTAGTATTGTTTGTCTAATTCACAGTAGCAGTAACTATCATTTCAATATGAACTATCGAGTATAACATAAGGTAATGTATGAGATGTAATAGAATGATAACTGATGATGGGGATCATCAGTGGAGAAGAATATTTCATATAGACATCTAATGCACATACATATCACACTGAATAGAAAATTATTGAAATAATATTGTAAAATTACTCGGATGTGTACTTGCTGATAATACATTCATAATGGTGATCACTGACATGAAGATTGTCAATTATATATTTATTGAAATCACGCTCAATACATTCTGCTCTTTGTTCATTGTGATTATGAGTTGCAAAGGTACGTACAATCAAAGTAAAAGCTTCTGTTTTCATAGGTTCTACCATATTAGTATTGATGACAGTGGTCATGATAATAAAGCAAAGAAAGTTGAAATTCAAATTGCCGTACGAAATGAATACAAAACAAACAGAAAATAAACTACCTATTTATTTATATGTGGTGTAGATTAAAACAAAATGACCTTAAACATTGATTGGACTGTATTTTAGTAAAATTTCTTCAAATGCTTCAATGAATATAATAATATACAGCTATTTAATAGGTAGAATATTATGTTTATAGAGAAAAGTAAAGATTGACTGAATACTAAAGTACAAATTGATTGATTTTTTATTGAAACTTGGAAAAACAATGTTGTATGACTGTTTCAATGAACTTTTCTAATTCCATCTGAAAATGCTGTAACCAAAATTAATTATAAAATGCACAACTGTAGTTCTGCTTGTAGATAAACATCCTTACGCAGAGCATTACACAACCATAAAATCAATTAATCATATTTTAAGTAGTATGTTAGCATTCCTCATGTCATGATTTGTACAAAGTGTTTGCAATGCTTGAAATGCTCAATCTGCACTACTGAGTTCACATGTTCATTGATATTTCATCGATCAATTATTTTACTGAAATTCACATCATCCTGAGGGTAGTTGTGTTATGTTTACTTGATTAGCATAGATGTCAATTGAATTTTCATCATTCACTAGGAAAGTAAAGCTGATTCACACATCACTACATTTATTACTAAATACGAGAAAGCATGATAATGCCAGAGAAAGATATTTTGTGCAAATAATTGGTTTTTCAGTTAAACGTTACACTACTCACTATATTGAATCATCACATATGTCACATTCTTCCTCTTCTTTTTCAAAGATGTTTCTTCCAATCAATCATACTGTTACAAGTATCAAGTATGCTGACTGTGGACAAAAGATACAAGGTGATTAATGAACGTGGATACTGGAAATGTGATTGAATGAAAAAAGAATTAAATACACATTTTTGAAACCATGAATCGATCAACGTTAGACCAGCACCATTAGAAACCTGGAAGCACTGGACGGCCGTTTCGTCATGGTATGGGACTCCTCAGCGTTGCGCATCCACGACTCCTGCACCCCGCACGATTCGAACCCAGGAACTTCGGTATTGTAGGCAAATGCATTACCATCGGACCACAGAGCCGGTGTTATTGTCTAACTTCACAACCCCGTATTGCAAAGAAATAATTGTCAGTAAACTTTCTTAGATTACAAGGTTCGTAAAAACTTGATATTATTCAGTCATTAAAAAATATATACTAGAAAGGATGTGATATTCGTTCTGTACAAGCATGATGCACTTTATCATTCTAAGGCGATGCTGTGAAACATATAATCCTCACTGTTGAATGCCTTAACTTTAGACCGCTTAGCTGGTACACGTTCATTTTGAATCTAATTTCAATCAGTTATGTCTATTGTCTTAACCGTTTATGATTTCGAATGGCTGAACATATTCCCTCAATGTCGTTCAGTTTTTTAAAATGCTAGTTTATTGTTAAAAACAAGGACTACTTGATAATGAATTATAATTTAACTAGGAAGAATTAAATTTGACGGAAAATTCAATTATCCAACAGAATTAATGTTATTGGTAACCAAACAAGTAAATCTGTGGTGGCCAATTTCTGCATGTTCTAAAGCTCGGTAATTAGCTCGTTCAGACAATCGTTACTAAGTAGCGTCTGACGGTTATAAATCAGAAGATGAAATCGAAGTATTGGATACGTTTATTGTGGCACACCGCAAGCAGACTTCGCAGAGACACTAGTCAGTGAATATGCAAATGTGCGAATGGGCGATTGGACAGGCGAAACAGGTTGGAGAAGGATATTGAGACAACTCCAAGAGATAGAGCCTGACTAAAAATATGTAATCAGACAAATATAAGACAGACATGCCACAAGCGAAACAGGCACACATGAACAAAGCAATGAATGATTGACAAGGTCAAATAACAAGTGGGACACATCATGTGAGCGTCGAGCTTTCTCAGCATACTTCAGGTGATACCAACAAGTACCAGTTGACCTCTTCGGAGACTTGGAGCGGTGTCGGGAGCATGACCTTCTTCTAGAGAAAGATGCAGTTGGTTTAGTGCTAATCATTGCTACCGAGGCTCGTAGCGTTTCTATCTGGTTGGTAAGTTGCGTTATCTGTTGTTGAAGATTAAGAACGGTACACATACTATCTATGCTAGTGGTTTGTACAGGATTAACTACATGGCTATCTGGAGAAAGGTCCATTGTCAATGGTTTAGTGCAGGTAAAGCCGTATTAGATAGAAACAAAACGTGTGAGCCGAAAATGTTAATTAAAAATTATAGTAGTACAACAAATAACATAAACGTAGGCTCACCAAATAATTGTGGTTGACCAAACATTATATTATTTCAAAATATCAACAAAGTTATTGAATACAAACAGATGTATATTGAAATATATAAGTTAAATGTGATAAATACAATAAAAATGTAGGGACGTTACTTTATACAGCTGCTTGTGCGTGTTCGGTTGTGTTTGATATTATAAATCCAAAATTATAGAAATGTTATTCATCCAAATGGTGTAATTATCCGTAGAGTAGCATATACGTATGACTGCAGTCTATAAACGTAGATAATATACGTATCAGATTTCAGATAGCGTGTTAATGAACGATTGAGAACATGAGATGGGTGTATAAAGTGTATTTGAAAGGCTACGGCAGTGAATGCCGTGCTATGTATACAATGAATGGAAGATAGGAGCAGTGTGTGCGCCTGATATATTCGAGGACACACACTTAAACAAAATGTACAACAATTTCATAGTGGATGTACAAGCTGTGAAAATTAACAGGATAAATACAAATAGTATCAAAAACTATTTACAAAATAAGTTTGTCATGCCATCTCAACACTGTCTTATTTCCTTTACTGAATAAATCGTTTTATTCCAAAAGTCAATTTATTGTTTGATTTCTTTTATGTTCGAATAAAATGGCTTAAAACGATCCGGTTGACTGAAGAGTTATTTTAATGTTTTCATCTACCTGACCCATAATTCTGTACATCAACTTTACTCCAATCTTTCAATATCCTTCATCCCATCCAACTACTAATATAATATATCACAAAGTCGAACAGTAATCAAATAAGTAGTAACATTACAACTAATTAGAAAACTAATTGAACTAAACTATACATCAGTGATAATCACAATGATTAATGACTACTTGTGATGGTGTTTCTTTGCTCTGACCTGAATGTTTTGATTGTGAAACTTTCATTGTTGTTGTTGTTCTTCTTCTTCTTCTGAACAACAACATCATCAGCGCAAACTTCAGATAGAAGCAGTGAAGTATTCGAATTTCTTCAAGTTTGAGCTGTAGATTGTTCTGTACTGATGATGTTTTTTTCAGAAGAAGAAGAAGAAGAGGAAGAAGAACAATGAAAGCTTCAAAACCAAAACATCCAGCTCAAACAGTTCTAAACACCTTCACAATCATCCATCTCCAGCACTACTGACTACATCACAAGTGATAATGTTAGTCTGAGTAGCAGTGGTTACCTTATATTTACTATGTGAAATACTCAGTATCGAAACGTGTGAAATGAAATGAAAAGATGGCTACTGAATATTCGATCGTTGGAGAATATTGCATAAAGCCACCAACAAACGATTCAATGTTTATTTGTAACATAAACACAATAAATAATTAAACTGACATTGTGAATACTTGCGTGACAGCTCAATGAAATTCTGCTACTGTAGATGGACTGAAAGTTTCCATGTAATATATTTCGCTCTATCTCTATGTTCAGTATACTAGCTGAAGCGTTTTTTCTTAATAGCATACTCGTGTTATTAACTTCTACCATGAGTATAAACAAATGACAAAATAAATTGAACATTGTGCACAATACGAATTTAGCTAAACATGTTTACAAAATGCAATCTTATCTCGTAAAGAATAAATGACCTTAAACTTTTATTGGAATATGCTTTAAGTAGGAAATGAATTTAATAGTCTATAAATACAACTATAAAAGTGTTTTAATTAGTAGTAATATTTTATACATAGAAAACAGTAAAGATTGACTGATTACTCAACTCAACAAATATATTGATTTTTTTTACTGTAAAAATTACATAATCGGATGAGATATACAAAGAACTGTTAAACAATAAACTGTAAAAAATGCTGTACTCTAATTATTAAGTATGCAAGTATACTTAACTCTTGATAAGTAAACAATGTCACATAGAATACAATTAGAATCGACTGATTACGATGTCATATAGCCAAAAAATCTATTCAAAACTACACTAGCATTCTTTCTGTTGGAATTCGAACGATTTTCTCAGCGCGTAAATGCACAATCTCCACTACCGAATTCACATAATCATTGATTTCATCAATCGACTTCATTATTGAAATTGTTATCTTCCTCATGGTAGTTGTTGTAAGTATTATTAGTAGTAATATCATTATAAATATTGATAATATCGGTAATAATAGTATCAGTGGTAGTAGGAATCAACACTCCAACTGATTCTATCATCTTACTTCGCAACACCATTTTCAAATTGGTTACAATGCATGATCTATAAACCGACAAATCTACTCAAAGTTTCAGACACTCAAACATTTTCAATCCTCATCATCGTCGTCATATTGACACAACTAAAAATCAATCTTTTGTAAAGCTATCGATTGATGCAATCAACGACTGAGTGCATTTCCTACTGAAGATTCAGCATTTCACGCAATGAAATTTGTGTACATATGCAAACATGAAGAGGGTTAATGTAATTTTGAATACATTTATTGAATAAATGGTTCTGTAGTTAGTCAACTCTTTCTATTGTCTGTATGAAATTGTTTACAAAAGTACTGTTGTATACTTCATAATATAAGGTGAAAGCATTTTCGTATTGAATTTTTAAAAGTTCATTGAAATTCTCATATGATTGTCAATTTTTTTTTCAAGACAATAAAATTAATAACTTTGTAATTAATGTAATAATCACTCAATCTGA